AAGCCGTAGAGCCAACGTTTGTCCGTAGATCATTTCTGTAGTCACATGGCCAGTGCGACTAGACACGGAATGCTGTGATCTTCCCACTGTTGTGGGACCTATTTATCTACTTGCATTTGCATGCTTTCGAACGGCTAGGTTGTCAGGAGCTGGGACAAGCGACGGGAGCTCACTCCATTGCATGGATTCAATCTTAAGACAGCTGGTCTTCTGACCTTGCAGCACAGAGGCTTCTGCAGTTAAACCTGCAGCGCCACCATATCTAGGTAATTGGGTGCCGGCAAAAAGGAATTAATGCCTGCTGTACTGAAGTTTAACCTTCAGGTGGCTCCACGGTAGTTAAGGTTGTCTCCATGAGCATTTTCAGCAGCCCCTTGGCTCTGTCTCGATTTCAAGAGGATGCAGCTGACCGTATGTGCTCTCAGGTACTCGGCAATGATGGAGTTGATGTGAGGAAGGTGAACTGCACAAAGATTCAGCTACAACTTGGGTTTGCTTGTCAGGAGAATAAACTTCAGTAAACCTGGTGTCCATATGCTCTTTTCCTAAAAGACTTTACTTTTGGGGGGAATGCAAAACTCAGTGGGAGAACATGTGGTTAGGCATCTCTGGCGAGGAAAAAAGTGGGAAGCAAGTGAGGAGAAAGCTCCTCCTCAAACTCTGCAGAGCCCTTGCCAAGATAGGTTGTTTTCTGGGCTAAACACACCAGTGGTTTGATCTGGCACAAGGCAGCTTCCTAGCTGTTCTCTCCAAGGTAGAGGCGACTAGACAATTCCAATTCCTCACTGGTGGCAATACAAAGTTTGCCATTTTGTCTGATGTTACAAAGCATGGCTTGAACCCATTTGGACCAAACAGCTGCTTTGTTCTGCTGCAGGTGTACAGTTGTAACCTTCACCTCTCCCTTTGTTCATGATCAAAGAAGAACGGGGGTGTGCGAGCCAGGGGCATTATCTCAGCTCATTCTCCTAATGAAAAATTTTGGGTTATCCTTGTGGCCAAACTGAGACAGGCTGTGTGAATTTAGAAAGGTTGTATTCTCTTACTTTACCCAGCAAGAACATCTGGCTGACCCCAGCTTTAAAACACAGCTGTTTGCCAGAGTGCTTGACATTATTGTTGCAAGGTATTAGGAGGGAGGTGTGGTGGGTCATAGAATACAAATAGTGCAATTCACAGAATCTGTGGATGGTGCATCTATTCAGTATGGACTCGTGCATGGACATCTCTGAACACTGGGACAGATTTGAGGAAGGTGTGTACATAGCAACCCACAGCCTCCATCATTGGCTTTTCAGTCTAGCACAGCCTGTAGCCTGTCCAGGGAAGCCCGAGGCTTCTCTGTGCAGACCACAGATGAAGGGATCAGTGGCTTCTGCAGACCTTTATAGGTCATCAGCTCACATCTGGAACTGGTCCTTAACAAGCCAAACTGCCAGATGGCTCCTGTATGAGTCACAGAGAGCGGGCTCAGGGCTGCTCTTGGGTGGCTCAGTGCCAGTGTTGCCACCAGCATCCTGGGTGTTGCAGGTCATGATGATAGCTGTGCCATGTTGTCACTGATTTTTCCTGGCTTTGCAGTCCTGGAATCAGAGAGATGGAGGAAACCACCCAGAGAGTGGCAGTGTTAATGGGCCGGTATAGAAATGAACCCCGAGGACCGTCTAGTCCAACCCCATGCCAGTGGAGGGAATCCCTAGCTTAAAGTATCCCTGGGGAATGACCATCCAAACTGTGCTTCAGACCTCAAACATCTGAGATCACATAATTATAAAATAATTTCTGCTTTGTCTAAAGTCATTTTATTCAGATGGGCTCTAGAAAGGAAGCTACTATCAGGTTAAAAATTCAACAGAATGCAAAGCATTTGTCTTATCCTAATGGAAGTGGGCCAATGGGTTTAAATTTTAGCTCCTCCTCCTCCTCCTCCCTCCTTCTGTTTCTAAAATGGCCTGGTGGTTCTCCTTCTGTTTTGAACTATGCCACTGTCTCCCTACAATTGTGGTTTTGAGTCTTCCTCTTTCTGCCACAGCTGAAGGATAAGGCAAGGCTCAAGGCAACATCCGCAAAGCAGTGCAAGGACTCCAGCCTGCCAGCAGAACTGCCTTCTGATCTTAAAAAGTCCTGGTTGCACTACCAGGGTTGGATAAGGGGACCATTCCAAGTACACATAAGAGGCACCTTCCTGATTGCATTGCAAACCTCAGGGATTTGAAGCCATTTTCTTTTCTGAATTCCCTTTTGCAGCCAGTCTCTGGGAGATGGTAGTGGTCCGTTACAATATTTTAAGTAATTTATTCTCATGTTTGCCAAACAAGGACACTTCTTCCTGACTCTTCTACCTTCTTTTTTGGTATAAAAAATTGACCTATATCTCTGAGCTGAAAAATGAAAATGGCAACCAAGATGGATCAACCATTCATGCTTTGGCATTTGTTCCCCACGTGTTTTTGCAAGTATTGGTGAAGCTGCAATCTTAAAAACTAATCTCTGTGCAAGGTCTGCTCCTGTGTGCCTGTGAAATTGGATAAGAGGTTACTTGAGTTTCTGCCATAGAGCAGAAATCAAGATACAGTGGTGCCTTGCATTACGATGTTAATTCGTTCCAGCGAAATCGCTGTAGAACAAAAACATTGTAAAGCGAAATTAAAAAGCCCATAGAAATGCATTAAAACCCGATTAATGCATTCTTATGGGCTTGAAACTCACCGTCCAGTGAAAATCCTCCATAGCGCGGCCATTTTCACTGCCCGTGCAGCGAGGAATCCGTCCCAGAAAACAGCGGGCAGCCATTTTTTTTTAACCTGGTGGCCATTTTGAAACCACCTGTACTGTGTTTGCTGTCCTCTGAAGATGCCGGCCACAGAGACTGGCGAAACGTCAGGAAGAACAACCTTCAGAACACGGCCAAAGAGCCTGTCCTGCTTCAGGACATGCAAAAACTTCATCGTTATGCGATTTCATCGTAAAACGGAGTGCTCGTCTTGCGAGGCATCACTGTACAGTCTGTAAGTGGGTGTTTGGGACTGGGACATGGATGACAAACCAGGTGTGTTCTCTGTTTACAGTGTAACTGAAGAATAGATCACTACAGCTGTCATCCAAATGTTCTGAAGGTTGTACTCTGGTTGCTGTCCTCTGAAGATGCTGGCCACAGAGACTAGCGAAACGTCAGGAAGAACAACCTTCAGAACACAGCCAAAGAACCCGAAAAACCCAGAACAACCTAGTTTGTGTGTCTGCAAAGTCACCTTCTGACTCTGGGTCTAAAGTAGGAAGCATAGCCACCCCATCCATGCTTCAGTGAATGATCCCTTTCTTTAGGAAGAATATCCTAAGCTCTTCTGGGGCTCTTCCTGTGCCCTGGTCACAGGAAAACTGCTGGGTCCAAATTGAGCAAAAAGAAAATGGGATGGTTTGTGAGGAAGCTGCCAGTCAGACAGGATTGGCTTCTTGTGACCAACCCCTACTGTCTGCTGAGTGCTGCCGATTGCAGCTGATTTCAGGAACGCCTTTGGAATTCATTAAGAAGACGGAAGCACCCCAGTGGGACTGACTCAGTGGTTCTCCTTGCCCTGCGGAGGAAGCCGGGAGGCTTCCTTCGCCCTGAACTCTTCCTTGTCCTGATTGGAGAAGAGGTGATTCAAATCGAAACTATTTCTCTGCGTGGGAGGACAGCCCGGCCATAAAAGATGCAGGAAGTGGGCATGTGTGTGAGGAAAAGTAGAACAATAAAAGGCCGAAAGGATGCTAGGAAGGGATTGAGCTGGCAGAGGGGGGCTGCCGATTTAAGAATATGTGGGCCACTTTGGTCATCACCTTCTCCTTCCCAGCATCCCATCCCGTGGCCTAGAGGTATTTTTAGAAGCCCAGCCACCTCCCCTTTGGAAGTTTCGGTGTGCCAAGCGAGGGCAGCCCAGCTGATGTAATTCAGGGAAAGAGGAACCGCTCGGCTCCTCATCTTCAGCTGTTGGATCAGGTTCTGATTCCGGTTAAAATCTTGCTCTCTAGGTTTCCTCCTGGAAAGGTCCAGCCAGCTGTGACGTTGCTCACAGGAGGCTGGCCATCGCTGAACCGTTAAAGCAAGGTGTGGCCAGGCCAGCAGGGAGCCTTGGGGCATCTTTTAAATGGTTAGTTCTATGTGGCATAAACTTTGGCAGACTTCAGCCCACTTTTTCTGATCTGCAGAAGCGAGGCTGCAGCCCACAAAAGCTTATGCCAAAGTCTGAGCCGCCACAAGCTTCTTCTGTCAGTTTTCCTGCAACAGCTTGCAGTCTGACCCAGCAGCTGACCCTTTTGAAATCTCCAAAGCAATTGTTTTTCATCCCAAAAGTGTGTCGCTGAGGCAGCTTTCTGTCCTGCTCTGTGTACAGGATGACCCTGCGCTCTGAATCAGAGTGACTGTGTTTTCATCTTGTTTTTGTTTTTTTGTTTGCTTGTTTTTGGTTTTCCAACACATGTCGAGCCTTTGTTTTAGATGAAAGACATTGCTGCTTCCTTGAAGAAGGAAGCTCCTTTCCAATTTGTAGAAGGCCTTTGGAAAAAAACACAGCTCTTTATGTTTTATTTAAACATAACTTTTTCAGAGGTAGGGGGAGAGCATAACAGCTGGCTGGCTCTGTCACAGTGACAGGAGTCTTCTGAGACCAGAATTCTGGGCTTGGAGTTGTGATGAGAATACATGTGCATTGCCTGCTCCAACAGTGTGGGCTGTAGGATTAAGCTGAGCTCACTGTTATATCCAGGACCAGTTCTTTCTCAGGGGGAAGACTCTGTAGCTCAAAGCCACTGGATCTGCCTGTGAATCAGGAGAGTTTTAAGACCCTCTCTGAGACCCCAAAGAGTTGAAAGCCTCCCGTTAGAGGAGGTAGTTCCAGCTTCGATGGATAAACAGTCTTAGCCTGATGAACGGAGTCCCCTTTGTTGGCATGGTACATTTTTTGTCTTAGATGCTCAAAAATCCCTTCCTTCCTTTTAAAAAGATCTCTGTTTTCCTTTAGGTTTCCTAGTCAACGTCAACATGTTCAGCAAGAAGAAAAAACGCATTGAGATCTCGGCTCCTTCCAACTTTGAGCATCGGGTCCACACGGGATACGACCAGCAAGAGCAGAAGTTCACTGGGCTGCCAAGGCAATGGCAGGGCATCATCGAGGAGTCAGCCAAGCGGCCAAAGCCTCTGGTGGATCCCGTCTGCATCACGGCTGTTCAGCCGGGATCCCAGAAGGTGGGTGACTCCGGCTTTGTTCCTTCTTCCTGTGAGGTATGTCCTCCTATTAAGCCATAGAATTGAGGAGCTGGAAGGGAACGGAGGGTAATGTAGCCCAGCTGAGCAGTCTGCAAGTGAAGCATCCCTCAGTGGAGGGGTAGTTCTGAAGTGGGTCTAAAGGAAGGTTAGGTCTGCGGTTGCAGGCCCTCCTCTGATGTGGCCAGGTTCAGACTGGCTGCAGACCACCTGACATCTGTGAGACCTGGACATTCATTGTGACGTCAGTACAGTCTCCTGGAGGTGTCACTGCAAGCTGTGCTCCAAAATAGCAGAAACTGGACACTTGACAGAAACATGTGATAGGATCCGTTGTGAGGGCCCATTTGTTGCACAGGCTGGGAGCCAATACAGGAAGTGAAGGGTAAAATAGAGCATATGTGCCAGATCTGAGTTGGTCTCTGAGGACAGGAGCTGCTGACTTCCAGGAGTGTCAGGAGGCTCAGCCTGGAGCAGACAAGCTGGCATTGGTTCTCCTCAGGGAGGTCAGTGCAGGATGGGGTGCTGGGAGGTGGGGGGACTTGATCCCGAATTTGTTTCAGTTAAGCTGACCAGAATTCAGTCAGAAGTAGACATTCCCAGGCCTAAAGGTGTGTGCTGGTTGTGAAGGAGGGTTTTGTTTCCTGGGGCTGCTGATTTGTTTTCTTGAGGTGCAGAGAGATTGATGGTGACATTCGCTTATTCTTGACAGGCTCAGAATTTTGCCACCATTGGCAGCGTGGGCATCCCTGGTGGCAAGAGGGAGGTTCTGTGTTTGCCTGTTTGGCTTCCTTGGGGAGACAGGAGGTGTGCAGTGCTTTAGATTGTTGCTTGTATTGGGAGAGGTAGAAAAAGAAGTCATGTGTGGGATTATTGCCTCCCGGAAGAGGTTTTTCTACAGATCCTAGAGTTAGAGTAGTGACTGAGTTTCCAAGGAGTAGCAGGATCTAGGAGCCAGCAGTGGGTGACTCCCATTTCTGCCCTCCACAAAAGGATTTCTAGAGGACAGAAATGACTCTTGGCAGCATGAAAGCATGCATCTCTTCTAAAGCTAGGCCACATGGGGTGAGCCCAGCTGTTCAAAAATCAAATGGAATCTACATTTACATGCCCAGGTATCATGTGGTGTCTCTCATGTGGTGGGTGTATTTTTTAAAGCTCTGTACTTGCTTTGTGTCTCTCATGTGGTGGGATGTATTTTTTAAAGCTCTGTACTTGCTTTGTGGCCACGGTCTTTTCACACCTTCTGATTGCCACCTCTTTGGGGTTGCCTTCCCAGGAACCAAGCAGCGTGGTAAACGGTGACCTAGCACAGGAAGTAGTTCTTGATTGTTAGGTCACTGTGGAGGCTGCACCTTGTAATTGTAAGAGAAGATGATGGCTCAGCCATGATCTTTTCCTGGGAAGATGTGAGGGGGAAAGCCTTGTGGCTGAATGAAAACGGAGACCCGTTTTCCACTCCTGCAGCAGCCTGGTGTAAAAATGTCAGCCTGGTGAGGCCATGAGGTTTCCCTTGTGCTTCTGTGGACAGAGTGCTGCCTCCTTCTCTCATGTGTTTTAGCTGCAGCATGCTAGGAGGGTTATATTTATCCTGAAGAGCAGCCTCCCCAAACCCTCATAACCCCATTCCCCAAGGCCCGTGCCCCATTGCCAGGGACCCACACCCTTTCCTACTGCTTGCAGCGGCTGCTAAGGCATTTATCCCCTGCACAGAGGAGTTGGCACAGAATTTGGGAGGCGGTTTGGCATGAGAACCCCCGAAGGCCGAGTCCTCCTGGCCTTCTGCATAAGTGTGGCAATTCTGGAAGGATCTGCTTGTTTCTGTTGGAGGCGTGATGCATTGCTGGGGAGGGTGAGGCACCTTGGTTCAGATGTGCTGCTTCTTGACTCAGGACTTGAGCCGAGAAAGAGTGGGGCCTGGGCTGCCCTACCTGATGGGCTGGGCTCCTCTTCCATTTGCCTCGGCTGCCGGGTGGGAACTTTAATCTCCGTGGGGCCCTGCAGTATCCCTGATGTTTTCCAAAGAGAAGACTTCAGGAGCTCATTCAGGGCCAAGGACCATGTGTTCCGCTTGCAGGCACCTTCCTGGTGATCCCAAGCTAAGTGGAGGAATTGCATTAGCAGCTGTTGCTGTGCAAAAAATGTCTGTCTCTCTTTGCCTGCTCTTGGTTTCTTGCAGTTAGCCTGGAGTGTCTGTCGTGGAAGATGCCTCCCTTTTACGTTTCCTCTCCCACTTCCACAAAAAAGCCACTATGTGTGGTGCCAGGCATTATTTGCCTGCAAAACCCAACCAGTAACGTTGGTCAGATTTTAGGAGGCAGAACTCCTGAGTGGGGCCAGTGTGTGTTCTCTCTGCTTGGGCTGAAAGAGCAAACCTTTCCCTCGGGGCTCTGTCGCCTCTGTCGCCCTCAGGATGTCCACGGAGGCAATTTTCTGTCATGCCCACGTCTCTCACTGACCCCACATATCTTCTCCTGCTGCTGCTTTTGCTGCTGTGGGCCCACGCAGGAGAAGCCCTTTCTGCCACGCCTGCTTCTTGGATGGCATCTCCTTGCCTGGCCTAACTTATTTTCAGCCCTGATTAGAAGTGTTGGTGGCCTGGAATTTAGTACTCTACTAGGATGGCTCAAAAGCTGGTGTAGCTCTCTCACTCTCTCCAGAGCTCTTCCTCAGCCGCTTCCTGACAGCCTGATTCCTGGGCGTCAAGAGAGACCCTCGAGGGTTTCCAGTGGCTTCAGTGCCTCTGAGCTCTCAAAAGAGGCCGTCTTTAACCTCTCACATGGCTCTTCCGTATGAAAGAAGTTTCTCATGGCACGGAGTTATGCATTGCGTAGGCTTGGACGGGAGCTCAGCTCTTGCATATTCAGATATTCAGCCCACGTTGAGAGCACAGGGCTTCGGTGGGAGCTTGGAAGTGGAACCTCCAGGACAGACATTTAGGTTATGGGAAGGCATACCGCCTAGAGAGGAGGAACCCCTTGATTCTTCATCGGTGCTTCTGTGACACAGACCCATATTCAGAGGTGCTATTTATACAGTCGGCAAAGCCATTCCAGGCTGTGAAGGGTTTGTGTGTTTGCATGCTTTAGTGGCGAAGCTTCCTAATTTGTTTGTAAAAAGACTTGGGAGTTAGGAGTGAGCAGGAGGGTGTTCGGGTTTCCTGGCAGCACCCAGTTATTCAAAACGATGAGGACAACCAGGAGCTTTAAAAGGGTCTCAGAGCCCTGGGGAGATGGGCAGAGAAGTGGTGAATGTGGCAAAGTGTCAGCGAGTGTGATGTAATGCCGTGTGTGTGTTTGTGTAAGACTGCTGGCTTTACGTGGACAGCATCAGGGTTTACTGTTACTGCCCAGAAGGAGCACTTTGAAGACGGGATGGATGGCTTGACAGAAGCCCTGAGCTGGTGTGCAACTGCTGTGGAAAGGGCACCTTCCGTGTTGCAGATCATGAAGCAAGGTGATCTGAAATGAAACGGGTGATCATCATCATGACATGCATGTGTTGCAGCACATGGAACACCCATGCACTTTTGGCCCTTGGCCTTATTTTTAAGAGGATCATGTGGAGAAAAGGGCAGTCTTCAGGGGGGTGGGGGGGTGGAGCCAAGCATTTGCAAAAAGGCTCTAGCTTAGAGAAGTGAGTAAAATAGGGTCTGGTGTAAAATGCCTTCTTGGCGTGGAAGTGGTTGCTAAAAGAGATGCTGCTGTCTATCACTTGGAGCCAAGGACCGTCCTCTGTTGTAGCTAAACGGGGGGGAAACAGCAGTGCTTCCTCAATGAATGTGCATCTCCATGTTGTGCCGAAGGGCCTTACGTGAGTTTCTGTGATGTCTGGGGATTGGCCAGATGGCCGTTGTAGCCTCACGGGTCACCTCTGCAGTCCAGGCTCCTTTTGCTGGCAGCCTGTGCTTGAGGGCACTTTGCCTGATGTGCCAGGCTGTTGTGACAGATGTTCTTCCTCCTGTGGGATTAGGCCAGGCTGCTGGGCTCCTGCCCCTTCTATGGAGAACATGTGGTCCAACATAAAAGTAGGGGCAGCGGCTGGGAACACGGAGTACTGTAACAGAAACCGGTTGATGTTTGGTCAGGAGGCTGGTGTGAGACGGGAAGGCAGAAAGGGCTCTCAACGTGACCTGCTTGGATTAGTATGTTGTTGAATTGCTCCCAGAGGGGGAGCCTTTTCCTGGACGGGCTTCCCTTGGCAGGCAGTGGGCTGCCCATGTTGGACTTTGCAAGCCCTGCTTCAGGACATGCTGCGAACTGGAAGGATTTGAAATCAAACGGGATTGAACTGAACCCGTTTTAAGTAACAGAACACATCTTAGGCTAGTGACCTAGATAGTGGTTTGGACAGCAAGGAGAAACAAGAAGTTGTAGGGTTTCCTCTCCACCATTGTTGTTTCAACCCAGGATTATTGTTGTCGTCTTGTTGTTGTTGTTGTTGTAATATTCACCTGTGGTTTTTAAGGACTGTTCACTGCATAGATGGAGAAGGATTTGAGGCAAGAGCAGCTCCTGAGAGGCCCACCGGTGTCTCCAGTACGTGAGCTCTCCCACTCCTGCTTCCCGCATGGCCTGCTTCCTTACGCTTCCTCGTGTGTGCAAAAGTGCTGAGTCTTCCTCAGTTCACTGTCAAGCATCCATCAGACTCCATATTTTTTGTTCTGTTTTATGTTGCTTATCTTATTTTCTTTTGTGTTTGTGTGTCTGTTTTCCCCCCACCTTCCATTTTCCGTTCCCCGTTCCGAAAGATCATTGTGCGAGGGAACAAAACGGCCAAGGACGGGTCCCTGGCCTGGCTGCTGGATGAGTTTGAGAACATGTCCGTGTCGCGCTCCAACTCTCTGCGCAGGGACAGCCCTCCTTTCCCGCCCCGGCACGACCAGCTCTACCAGGAGAATGGCCTGAACGAGGCCCTGGCCAGGGCCAGGCCCCCGCACCCCCACCACCCCCACCACCTGGACGAGGACACCGGGGGCGGCCGGGGCAAAGAACCCAGGGAGCGGAACCGCCACAGAGCCCGAAATGACCTGGACCAGATCAGGGAGAGGAGCCAGGACGACAGGATGGCCACACAGCAGCAGCAGCAGCAGCAACACCCTCGGGGGCAGGAGCCCACCGGCAAACCTCACCCGCTTTCTGGCCACCACCGGCCACCACCACCCGAATACCACAAGCCCGCCTCGGACCACCAACACAGAGCACATCCCCGGGATGGGAGGAGGGAGCCGCCCACAGAGAGAGCGCCCCCTGATCGTGTGGTCAGGAGGGAGCGCGTGGACGGCCCTGACAAAAGACCCAAGTCTGCCTACACTGGGGAGACCAGCCCACCATCCCCCCGGGAAAAGCGGCCCCTCTCGGGCCCCAATATCCGGACCCCCAATCTCCCTGTCTCTGAGGGGGTCATGAAAACAGCACAGCAGACCGGACGGCCTTTTAATACATATCCACGAGCAGACACCGACCCTGTCAGGGGTGCTCAGGTAAAAAAAAACAACCCTACCCCACCCCACTCTTGTAGCTCAGGGTGTTCTTGGCCTGTGAGCTCACCAGTATTCAAAGAAGCCGTTTCGTGCATCTTTCTCAGCATAGCCTGCGTGGTGGTTTATGTGGCGGGCGGTGAGGTGTGCTGACTTCTTACGCATTCTTCAGGCGCGGTCATTGGCCCCCATGGCCGCATGAGGGGCCCTTTCCTTGCACTGCTCTGTCCCCTGGTGCCACTGCTCCCTTCCCTCTCACTTCCTGGCCCCGCTGTGCTCCTTCTCGGGGTGTTGCACCCTCACTTTCCAGCCCCACCACCTTCCTGCAGCGTGGAGGCGCAGCTCTGCCGTGTTTCTCTTCTGCTGTTGCAGCCCTTGCTTCTACTAACCTGAGCTCCCCACTCGAGCGCTGTCCGCCTTCCTGAGGAAGGGCTTATCTTCCTCTCGGCTTCTCTCTCTCTCTCTCTCTCTTTGTGTGTCTTTCTGCCTCCTTGACAATCCAGCACTCGCTTCCGTCTCACCTTCTTCTGTGTCGTTGCTCCTCTTTCAGTACAGTCTCTGCGTTACTAGAGCAGCTTATTGCAGTGCAGGCATCCCCTCAGCCTCCATCACCAGGGACTCACATTGAACCACAGCTGGAGCTCTGAAGCCTTTTCCTGGTGTCTTTCGTGGCCTTCCTGCTCCTCTGTGGTCTTCCTTTTTCTCCAAGAGCAGTGCCGTCCTTCGCTGCAGGTGCTCTTTGCACCCTACTAACCACCAGCCTTGCTACCTCGGCTGCTCTCCTTTGCTCCACTCCGAGAAGGTGTCAGTCGGGCTGCCTTGCTCTCCCTTTTCCTGCCAGCCGCAGGGAATGGGTGGGTCCATTCTCACCAGAGTTCACCTGCCGGGAGCTGGAAGGAGACGGACGCCTTAGAAGGCCTGGGTCAGTCTCAGCCTATGTCCTAGCTTTTTGAAATGTATGGCAACTTGGAGGTGCCAAAATTCTGTGATAGAGCCCCCTGCTGTACCATAGAAAGGTCCTGGTTCACTCTCCAGCATCTCCAGTTAAAAGGAAACCTTGTATGTGCCCTTTGTGGAGGGCATCCTGGGGGGGGGGGGCAGAACCATGTGGTTGCCTTAGAGAGTGAGGCCTGTGGCCTGATCCAGGCAGCAGCTCTCCCTTTCCCACCTATGTTAGAAACTGCCGCTTGGGCCTCTGGGAGCCTTCTGCCACTCTGAGTCACAACTGGGCAAAACAGACCGATGGCTTCTGAGTAAATAAGAATCACTCACAGCCATCTGTACTTCCAGGGAGAGGGGATGTGTAGGTTGCCGTACGTGGATATTATTGCCTGTGACTGGATCTCCTGGGAGGATTTTTTCTTCTTCAACACTCAGACCTCATGGCTAGTGAAAGCCCTTGTTTTAAGTCTGATATCCGGGTTATCAAAGCACAAAAACCACTCAGTCCCCCAGAGTGCTGGGATCACCATACTGGTTCCTGGCACTCCGGTATTCTGGGCTAGAAGAAGCACACGGGGGCCTTAGAGCCCAGGTGCTCGCTCTGTGTGTGTGTGTGTGTGTGTGTGTCCCCATGCCTACATATTCCCTTCCCATCAAACATGCGAGGGGCTCAGGATTCCTCACACCCTGCACCAAAGCAAAGCCTGAGATTTTATTTCCTTAACAGTATTTCTCCTCCTGTTTCTAGGCTGAGCAGAGACCTGGGAAGCCTCAAGAAGCAGCAGCCAATGGCCCTTTAAGTGGAAACAGCAGCTCCTCCAGGGGCCTCCCGTCAGGCCCAGCAAAATCCAGGAACCCAGAGCCACCCCACCCAGGACTGTCTCAACATGCTTCCGAGCCCCACTTAACACACGTCCCTTCTCATGTCCCCCAGCCTCCATACACTCCGCAGCCTCCTCCGCCACAGCCCCCCCAGCAGCCTCCTGGCCCAGCCCCGCCAGGCCCACAGCAGCCACGCTCCCCACAGCGCGAGCCCCAGCGGGTCTCCCACGAACAGTTTCGCGCCGCCCTACAGATGGTGGTTGATCCAGGCGACCCCAGGACCTACCTGGACAACTTCATCAAGATCGGCGAAGGCTCCACGGGCATCGTCTGCATTGCCACCGTCAAGAGCACTGGGAAGCTGGTGGCCGTCAAGAAGATGGACCTTCGCAAGCAGCAGAGGCGGGAGCTGCTCTTCAATGAGGTGGGTGGGAGGGAGGAAGGGAGGGGCTTCCCTGCTCCAAGTCCCTAGCACACCTCCGTCTGTGTGCTTGTGCATGTGTGAGAATAAGAGAGAGAGAGAGAACGAGGTTAGGCAGGTGGGTGGGTGAGTGGGGTTTTTCCTTCCTCTTTCCCCCAAAGGGGATAGTTGTAGTGCTTGAGGTAGCTTTCATGGAATTAGATTTTTAAAAAACTTGGAAGACATTTGCCCTGTCAATCTGTACATGCACGTAGATATCTAGCAGGGAGAAGTATTTCCGCTGAAACATCCTGTGACTTTTCCCAGGGGTGCCAGGGAGGGAGGTGTCACAGCAGCACTTTGGTGGAGAATGCTGTCTAAGGAATGTGTGTGGCCATTGTAAGTGAACTTCTTTCTGGCTCTCGCCTGCCGCTGTTGATGCACTTCAGGTCCCATTCAACGTTAGGAATCCCTTCATTCAGGCTGTGGGTTTTCCTTCCTTCTGCAACAGGAGACCCAGAGATTTCCTCCTTCCCTTCCGGCCCCAACTGTTCCTCTCCTCCCCTTTCTAGGTGGTGATCATGAGAGACTACCAGCATGAGAACGTGGTGGAGATGTACAACAGTTACCTGGTGGGTGATGAGCTGTGGGTTGTCATGGAATTCCTAGAAGGAGGTGCTTTGACTGACATTGTCACGCACACGAGGTATGAAGGGTGGAGGAATGTGAGCCGTTTTTCTACTCCTTGGTTGCTTCCCTAACAAGAAAATTTAAAAAAATTAAAAGGCTTGTTCAGCTTAAACTTGGGTGGGCTACACCTCACTCCTTTACCTCTCTGCCCATGTTGCAGCAAAGGTCTTTAGAGTACTAAAGGACCAAGAATGTTTGTGTCTGTGGGGGGAGGAAGAGACTTCTTTTCTGAGTCTGTTCAGAGCCTGCTTTTACTTCAAGGCTTGCTTGTTCCTTGCGTTTCCTCCAAATGCTGAGTTAAATGCCAGAGTCCTGGAGGTGGGCTCTTCTGGGTTGTTTTGTTAGAATCATTTGTGGGTGCAGAATTTCCAAAAGCAGGGAGCCCTGGAACTCGAGAGGACAAAATACACAAGGGGCCAGAGACAGGCAGAGCCTTGCGGCCCTACAAGTCCCTTGAGAAGCAGCAGGGCTGTCTTGAAAGGAAGGCTGATGGATCAAGCTTTATGTGCCCCCCCATGCCCTCCATGGTCATTTCTGTCTGTCTCCCACGATAGTAGCCCTCAAAGGGCTGCAGGTTCAGTTCAGACCAGAGAAAGTCTCTTTTTACACAGCGTGTGGAATTCCCTTCCTCAAGATGACCACTGGCTGAGCCGGCCTTAGAGGAGGAGGAAAGTCCATGGGTCTGGCATTGACCGAAGCAGCCGAAGGGCATTTCCCCTTCAGGGTGAGCCTGCCAGACAACCAGCCAGCCAGCATGCTTGCTCTTAACTCCCTTTTCTGTAGGAAAGGATTTTGTCTGCCTGCCCCAGCCTGTGGACTTACAGAGACAATTGGCTGACCACCGAGGGCCCGCAGGGTGATGGGTTAGATGTGCGCCATCAGGTCCAATCTGGCTTTTGAGCTGCTCTTAAGAGTCCCGTGAGAAGAGGGGCATGTGCAACAAATGCTCTGTGTTCTGTCTCCAGGATGAATGAAGAGCAGATTGCGGCTGTCTGTCTGTCAGTCCTGAAGGCGCTTTCAGTCCTCCACGCCCAGGGGGTCATCCACCGCGATATCAAGAGCGATTCCATTCTGCTCACGCATGATGGCCGGGTGAGTGGCAGGTGTCCCAGGCACTGATCCTAAGGTTGCAGAGCCCTCGGTTTCATCTCAGGACCACCCGTGTGTTAGCTGAAGGAGGCCTGCCTTGTCTGCTCACCGGCACTTGGTGGAGTGTGCAGGGATGTCCCTTAAAAAAGGCAACAGGTGCCAAATTCACTCACCAGGATGCTGTGGCGGTTTGGATGACCATACAGCTGGAGCAGGCAAAATGGGACTTCCCTGGTCTTGTTTGACTGCAACCCTCATCCTCTCTTTCTGGCACAGTCAGCGTTGGGAATTATGGGAGCTGCAGTCCAGCAAGGTCTGGAGGGCTGCGCCCAATCCTTCAGAGCATAGATTTTCCTTCAGTTGTTCTGGTCTTCTTTCTGTTTCCCATCTCCTATGAAGGGGCCAGGCCTGACCTTCAGTGCTGGAAACAGTTTGGGACCAGTTTTTTTGAAAGGCAGCTTAGGTTGAGCAAGTTGTCAGGTAGAAACAGCAGGGACTTGACATGGTGGTGTCAACTCCTGGGAGAGCTGCCCCCCTGAGGGCTGTTTGGCCTTCTGTCTGGTGGCCTGAGGGCTGAGCTTGGAAAGGGCCAAAGCTTCATGTTGGTGGAATTGCTATCCTTCAATATGTGTTTGTTTGGTGTTTTTTTCTTAACCCCAGTGCCTTTCCTGTTACATGCTCATCTGTTCGGTCCATTTATATTTTGCTGGTCAGCTTCACCCTAGTAGGCAGGGCAGGAATAAAATAGTCCTGCTCTTGGGTTGGTTATCAATGGCTGAGCGACAAGGTCTACAGTGCCACCTGCTGGCTTATTTGTAGTAGTGCAGATCCGTCTCATTGCTCTCCCGGGTCTTCGTGCTCTGTCTCTGGAGTCATGAAAAACCCTACCTTTCATCCAAAAAAAAAAAAAAAAAAAGAGGCCCAGGGTGGCTTTCAAGGGCTGTTGCATTGTTGTTTTATTAAAGAAAAAGCAAAGAAAATCTCCCAAGGAGTTCTACATTCTCCTTCTGGTGAAGATTTGGACATAGGAACTGTTGCTTGAAGGGCAACTTACGCCACTCTTTATGACTTCTCCATAAATCCAATTGCAGCAGAATAAACAACTGTTTCCTGCATTGGACTGATGGTAGAAAATTGGACGGCATGGGAGGGGAGAGTCTCAGAATTAGAGTTTGCAGGGAAAGGGTTTCTTGTCATATATCTGATAAAAAGAGTCCTCCTTCCACTCCTGGGAAACCCTGGAAACCTGGCAGCTACGAGTCTGGTAGTTTGTAATCCTGGAACGGGAGCAGTGCAATCCGCGTGAAGCCCCAGAGGAAAGAGCGTTCAGCGCCTGCATCGGCGTCTTGCATTCACCACTAATCACATTCGGTTTTCTTGGCTTCCTTGCAGGTCAAACTTTCTGACTTTGGATTTTGCGCACAAGTGAACAAGGAGGTGCCGCGGCGGAAATCCCTCGTTGGAACTCCATACTGGATGGCGCCTGAGCTGATCTCCCGGCTGCCCTATGGCCCAGAGGTAAGAGGGGTGGGTGGGAAGGGGCTTCAACGCGGTGTCCTTCACCAGTTCTCCTG